ATTCCATTGGAATCGTAAATACGATTTCATCAAAAATTCAAAAAGAAAACAGAAAAAACCAACTCCTTTTATTCCTTTTCTAAATTTTTTTTTATTCCGGAGTTGATTTTTTTTCTGTTTTTTTGAATTTGTAGGTCTGATGAATTGATCGTATTTACGATTCCAATGGAATAAATTATGACCATGGAATATTAGTGTTTAAGCCTTTTTACTATATTCTTACTCTGTGCTAGACATTGAGTTCTACCTGGATTCTTCCTCTTGGAATTATTTTTTTTTTTTCTAAAAATATACATGTATGGGTATTTATATATTTTGCATATGTATGTATATTTTCCACTAATATTATCTATCTATCTATCTATCTATCTATCTATCTATCTATCTATCTATCTATCTATCTATCTATCTATCTCTCTCTCTCTGTATATATATATATATATATATATATATAAATAGATATATATATCACTGAACTTTTATGTAATATCGGTCCTCCTATATTGGTAGTGAATAAGGGACAATCTCCTCACAGATGAAGACTTCAGGCAACCAAAAACATTTATAAAAGCTGCTGAGAATACCATGGATTGAATATGTGAGCAACAACCGAATTTTAGTGAAAATGACAACAATCATATTTATAATCAGAAAGAGAGATTAAAGTTTAGGGGAAAATATTGAGGAAAGAGAGCTTGGAGAATTTGGCACTCACAGGGCATATTGAATGTAAGAAAAGCCGAGGAAAGCGGTACATATGATCAGCTGAACAGGAATTAAGGGAGATAGCAAAAAGACAACACTTACTGAGTTACATAATATCAGTCTTCCTATATGGCATTTAATTTTGGACAATCTCCTTACAAATGAAGAAGAGACTTCAGGCAGCTGAAATGTGCTTCTAGACAAAATTTACTAAGCGCTATAAAAGACAGAAAGTTGTGGAGAGCCTTGATCGTTCACTTCGAAGAATCCTTGTTATTTCATAAATAAATTTTTTTAAAAAGTAGAAGCTGATTGAGAGAAGAAATAAATGCAACTAATAAGATTTGGATTATCTCTGGTATTGCTTGATTTTCAAAATATTAAAATATCGATTTTACTACTCCATTTCATACGTTGCTTGCTTTCGTTTCATATCCCATCTGACTCCGACGTGGAAACATCGTCAAACGTAGAAGGGAAACGTCTTCGCTCTCAGCCGTATCTGAAAATGAGTAATGTGATTGTGCAGTATGACACTGCAAGTCCTCACGTCAGCTTAAATCTATGCAAACTATCACAGCACACGGCTGGACAATCTTGACATATCAACGCTACAGACTTAATCTTAGACTTTCATCTGTTCAGGCGCATGAAGAAGACACTGAAAG